TCTGTTTTTTACTAATCTATTTCACCTTACAGTCAGCACTGCAGGTTATTGTAGCTGGAGCTTTACGTAGTCTTTGTATCATTTTCCTTTTTCTCTCTTTTCAAGCGTATGGATACTTAAATATCTGCATGGGACTCCCTCCAGATGAAATGAGGCCTTGGTGCAAGAAAAGACTTCCTTTATTGTACAGTTATATTCAAAGTCAGTATTGGTATGTATATTGTTTTTCTTTCTGACATTTCACTAAAAGTGTCTGGTCAGATATATTCAAGTACACTTTATAAAGATAAACCTTATTCTGCTTTGGATCGGTAAAATGTTGTACACTAGGAGCTCCAGCATTTATTAACTCCCAGAAATATATCATAAATTTTTTATATGCAGAATTATTTTTTGGGTCTTTTGGAATTACTGAGAGAAACTTTGCTTCCCTATGATCGAAAATTGTTATGCAAGTGTTCAGGGGCTGGATTAGTTCACAACCATCACTACTGTTAATGTAAGTAGGGAAATAGCATTGGCTCTTATGTCACATGTTAGAGCATTTGTGACTTCATATCTTGCTCTTGATTTGTTCCTCAACTCATGTAAACTACACGTGCTTTTGAAGGAGGGGATGGATATGGATAGGTCGTGTTAATGATAGTATAATGTTAACTTTTTTATTAGCTTACATCCTGTAGGAAGATCAATAATTTATATAAATTCATCTAAAAAGGCTTCCTTATCAACCTGGTATGTTATGCATACTGTGCTGTTTCTTTGTTGTATGATTTCCTTTTATGATTGCCTCAAAATGGAGGAGAGCTAGAGTTGAATTGACCTCTTTCCTTCCATATGATCTGCATTATCGAAATTACAGGTTACATGATGCTGTTGCTGTTTATGCGTAATGTTGATTATTCTTGTTTGTCAGGGGAGTGGGCTTCCTTAGATATTTCCAAGTGAAACAGCTGCCTAATTTTCTTCTTGCATCCCCGATATTGTCTCTTGCACTTTGCTCAATCATATACTATGTGAAGCTGTGGCCTGAAGTTTTTCTCTCAATTGGTTTTAGAGCCGCTTCTGTGGATAAAGAATCATTTGGTTCCCCTACTTTTCTGGTGAAAGATACAGGACCAACAACATCTGGTTTGTCTGAGAAAGAAACTTCGAACTTATGGCAAGGTATGAAGTTTATTTAAGAATTAAGAATTGGCTTGCAAGTTATGGAATGTGATTGTGAATGTACTTTATCGTGTACATTGTTATATGTCTATGATCAAAGACTAGTTTCACCTTTAGGTATTGGTTAGGCTGGTAAATAAACATCGGGTACAATTGGAGATCCTATTTCAATTGAGTCCCAACTGTGTAATTTATTATTTTTTGAATTTTAAGGTTTTAGAATTGGGATTGAAAAATTGAAGGGGTGATTTTTGCTAGACCACATTCCAAATTGAAATACACTGGCAAACTGTATATTCAGGAGTCCGAACATTATAAGATGTACCATTATTTTAGTTTAAATCATATTCCAACAGGAAGTTGACATTTCCCTTAGCACCATGCTGGCAATGTGAGCATGTCATATTTTCCATCTTCAGAAACCTGGCTTTTGCTACCCTCAATATTAACTTTTATTAAGTTTTTCGGGTTCCTATTCTGCAGTGGTACTGACAAATGCCACACTGTGAGTGCCAGATTGTTTGGTTCTTTTGATTATATTGTTATAGAATGGCTTATCCATCTGCCCAGTTCCCAACCATTTCTGCCACACATCAAGGAATTTTAGTATTATAAATGACAGTGTATGTGCAATCGTATTGCTCTCTTCCAATACTTATAGTGCATGTTAGGCTAAAAAATAAATAAATTAAGCCCCTTTTTGGCCTCTATTCTCTTTCTCATTCTTT